GCTAAATGTATCAGATAGCACATACATGATTGCTTCTCGAAAAATAATATAACACCATGCGACTGATGTGACACGAAGCGATTAGAGACCTAGAAAATAGAGATGCGACATTGAGAGGACATTGATGGATCTGATTAATTGTCTAAAATACATGATTTAAACAGCTAATACGTGATCACGACGTCTTTTTTTTACATTGTATTCACACGCATAGGCTAGTGTAGCATGTGGTAATGAGATACTACGCCAATAATAGTATTCTTTGAAAAAAAAATGACGGAAGTAACTCAGCCTAATTCGCTTAATCTCTGTTTTCTAGAGCTCTAGAAGCGATCTGTGCTGATCTGTACTACAATCTTATATACTTATACTCGGGATGTGTTCCGTTTGACAGCCACAATGCCTGCGAGCACTATTTGTTCTCGTTTAACATTTATATAACAATAATAAACAAAGATAAATAACAAAGATAAAAATGATTTTATGAATATCATAAGTATCAAGTGGAACCTTTGATCGACATGTGAGTGGTAGCGCGGCGACTTTGTGTAAACTAGCGCGCTATATGCATCTCGATGCTGCATCGTCACGAAAACAAACGTCCAACTAAACATTTGTTTACCTAAGTCGCCGGTTCACAATTCGTATACTAACATTGAAGCAAGCGGATAAATCATTCCGCTTGTCGCGTTTCATCTCAAGACATATAACGATCGCTCTCCCTATCTCATTTAGCGATTATCTCGCGCGATTGATTAATTTTCTCGTGATTAACGAATTATATCCAGTAAGCGTGATGAATGACACAGATATTCCGCGCGATTTAGTCGCTTAAAATACAATTGAATTAAAACGATAGGAAATTAGCGTTATAAATCATTGTGTATGTGTGTGTGTGTGTGATTTCATTATGAATACCTTTTATTATAATGAGAGATTTCTTTTGTACTGCTTGAATTCCAATATATACACATATATATTTAGTCTCGCACCATATACAATATATTCCGAATATATTCTGTTCCTTGCATTTCAAATTATGTTGATAAACGAGCTGTTATCACGAACTGTATTAAAATCTAGCATCTATTTTATGAATAAAGTTAGTTTGTATTGATTAATATTGCATTTATGTAAATTAATCTATTATCTTTGGCCTTTTACCAAACTTTACATGTCGAAAAAAATGAAATTATGCGACTTTAATAAATTAAATTTTTTTCTTATATAGTATTTTTTAGTAAGTCACAGAAATTAAATTAAATGTGATAAAAGATATAACAATTTAGTTTCTTTATTTATTAAAATCATGCAACTTTATCTATCTTGGGATATATAAATTAAAAAAAAAAACATAAAATGAAGATAAATTTCAATCCTCATTTAAAGATTTAATATTGTGAAAGTAAAAATATTAAATAAATATAATTATAATTAATATGCTGTAATATAATTGATTATAAACATTTATGACGCTTATAATATTACAATTATTACGCAGGTATATGATTATACTAGAATTACGTATCACGTAAAAAAAGTAAGACGGATCTAATAATTTGATGCGAAACATTAATATTTATGAGCAAAAAATTGATTTTGTTGTATATAAGCATACATATACATACGTGAATATGCGCATATAATGCGTATAGATACGTGACGTGATTTAAACCATAAATCTCATCCTTCGTATCTAGTTATTCGCATAATATTTTTTCAATTTCCAATTATTAAGATAATATCGATTATTTCAATTAATATCTTAATTGGGGACAAATTACAATGTATTAATTGAGTATAGGTGAAAAAAAAATTCTGTTTTAAAATACGCAAGAGAAATTATTCAAGAATGCAATCATATATCGTTACAGCTGATAATTCTAAACGTCAAATTCGCATGGCCATAGCATTAATCACACAATCATCGCATTTGCGAGCAAAATTCAATGATGGATGTGCCCACATTAAATTAATATTTCGCGAGCATACATAGGCGACATGTATGAACGGCGCAGTTAACACGCAGCCACATTTTGATGGTACAGAGAAATAGCATTTCGATCTATTACCTCTCGTAAGGCCGCAATAGCTAGCGACATGATCAAAAGAAAAGGCCACCCCTGTTACCCAACCGATCAGAATTTCATTACTGCCTATCATATACGTCGCTCCGTACGTGTCAAGTCGCATGCACTTGATAGAATTTACACCACAATATTCTGCTTTCCGAGCGAGAGACGAGGGAAAAACGAGGCATTACGTTCATACCAATAATTAGATTCCTTGCGAAATACGCGGACTACATAACGATCGATCTTGCGTGGTCCACATTATCGGCATGCCGGAGATTAGGTGGAAGTTACTTGAGTGCCGGACGTATGGCTTCGTGGAAGCTAAAGAGCCAAAAACAGTTTCATTTTTGCGCATTAAAATAATCGTAAATTAGTTCGAAAATACATTCGCACGCGAGCAATAAAATACAGCATTCATTGTTAATAAATTGAAATAAAAGTAACAAAGAAAATAAAACCTCGATATATATCTATAAAACATTTAATTACAGAAAGTATTTATTTGCAAAATATTTGCTTATCTGAACGATAAACTTTATATACTTTTTTTAAATAACGAGAAAAGTATTACAGATTTTTTACGGAAAATATGATTTTTTAATCACTTTGTTCACATTCATGCTATTCATGATGCTTTGCAAAAGGTGACAAAATACATAACATGCAAAATCCATAAAATCTAATAACTGTAAATGTGTATGAAAAATAAAGATAGCTGGAAAGCTTCAAAAGATCTTTTAGCCTGATAAATATTTAAGAACTTTGAAAAATCCATATAGCCTATCCCTAAACTTTCCTCCTCTATCCCCTCGAGATATCGCACTTACTTTTCCATGATTTCTTCCTTTGCTCTAAAATTATGGAATATATCCTTCATATATAATGTAAAATATTTAAATTCTTGCGTATTTTAAAAAATCAACCATATTTCTCGCTTATCACGTTATTTCTTACTACTTTTTATTTATATTGTTTTAAAGGCAAGAAAATCCTGCTGTGAAATTCATTAAGTAAATGTGACAGAGACAAAGCTGTTTACGAATAAAGATTTCTCAACATAAATAATTTTAAATTCTCTTACATAATACAAAATATTATCTTACAAAATGTTATACAGACAAATGCAGACAATAAATAAATGTTTAGTAATAAAGATTAGACTATTCTTCATTTCATATCACTAATCTAATATTACTCAGATCTATTACTAAAGATATGGCGTTTATATATAAATATCAAATTATCAAATAAATATTAAATATTCAATTCTCGTTCGGGAGTCAAAACAAGAATCATTATAGCACACAACAGCGTCTTATAATAATAAAGGAAGAATCGCGCTTTGAATATATAATATGTACCTACGTAGGAATTTGAAACCACCCTCTAGCTAGGTATTTAACTGCTAATTTATTGAACTCGTGGAACAATGATCTATATGTTGACTGGAGAATAATGCATACTGGATATCGAGACTCAGCTCAAATGCACCTTTTGTTATATTTGATACAAGATATTAAAAACGTTAATGGCAATGAAGAAATGGTTCAATGTAATTTTAACAATTGAGCAATTAGATCCAACTGCTCAGTTACTAAAATTTTATAGTAATAGAGTCAAGTCACTTGCGGTGCATGGAAAACATGGAACTTTTATTGTTGTAAAATTTATTATCATGTGAAACCTTAGGGAATAGTTAAAAATACGGGAAAAGAGGGAAACCATATTCGTACGTAACTACGTTTTTCTGTATGACACGACCAATCGATAATACCATTCGCGATGGGATTGGAAATCAGCGATCTCTGCGCGACATACGAATCGCATACGAAAAATGTGCACAGAGAGGACCGGTCTAGGAGGAATGGATCGATACGAGAACATATATATACATACATATATATGATTTCGTAGCACGAAGAGAACATTTTTCAACGAGCGGTCGAAAGCCAAAAGCACGGAACAAATAGGGATTTTTATTACGAATATCCATTTGTTTGACAAAGTAACAGAGTTTTTCTACCTCACCATCGAATCTCACCACGGAATTTCAATTGCGTAATTCATTTCGTAATCAATAAAATGAAACAATCTCAATGATGTAAATTTGACTAAATCTCACCATTTGTCAGTCAGAAGTGACGTTCTATTATTATATATCTATCAAAAGACAAATATTTCTACAGAATAAAAAGAAAGACAAAAATTTCTACAGTATAAGAAGATCGTGACTAACATTTTCATATTAAAATATCGATTAACGTCTAATGTCTGAAGTTTAATTTTGATAAATATTATTTAAAATATAAATATAAAATGTAAGGGGAAGTAGGAGTCCGTGCGGTAATCGTTACGCAAATGAAATAATGGAAATGTTTATATGTTCATTTCTAAAGTATAAAAATATAAAAAGTTGGTATAAAATCTGTTTTTTTTTAATATTTCAAAATTGTATTATTTAAAATATTTCAATAAAATATAATATTAAAATATTTTAATATTATATTATTTAAAATATTTCAAAATTTGATTTTGTGACGAAAACTTTTACTATAAAAACGCTGTTTCCGAACATGAGACAGAAACAATTTAACATTTGCAGTAATTCGTGTCCATAATATCTTTAAGATTCAATGCAGCGAGCCCTGTTATTTAAATCATGATTTCTTTATACAACTTAGTAAAAAAAAAAAGAGTTTTTTTTACTTTACTAGGTGTTCCATTTAAGTCTATATTTTTCCATTAAGGTGCATTTCCTTCCCGCTCTTCTATTCATTCTTTGCTACGCCCATCTTTCTTCTAAAAGACCTCAATGCACTACGTGCATTGCTCGATGAAGGCCACGAATGAGCCCGCATTAGATACGATGCATTGTTAGAAACGTCTTCGAGAAAATGCATCCCTTTCTATCTCTCTATGTTGCAGGCTTTCGAGGAACTTGAGGAACTACTAGGGAAATATAACATATGTATCGCCATCAAAGAAAAGTTGGTAAAGGACTCCGGAGTCGCCGAGGAGGTTGCCTACGATGAAATAGTTTCAAAGTTGCTGACAAAATCGCGAGCAAGAGGTAAAATAAAGATTTGATAAACCGAACAAATTTTACTTATAAAGCAAACTGTAAAAAGCAAAAAACGTTTCTTTTTCATTAATTTTTCTTATTAATAAAACAATGTACAATTATTACTTATTATATTAGAGGAAAGTCGCTGATATTGACATAAATCTTAAAAGAATGACATCCCTTTATTTCTCATAAACTAACTATTGCTAACTTTATTGATGCTAATAAAATCATGATCTGTTTAATTAATTAAAGAAGTACAAACTCATAATTCGTATATTTATTTGTTTCTATATCAAATTAGCTAAAAACGAATTTTACGAATGCGAAAATAAAATTCTTACTTTTTCTTTTGCAAATTACATAGTTTAAATAATAGTGACTATATTATTGATAATATTACGTTGTTTTAAATGCTTGTAATTTCCTAAATCATTTTTATTTATTTTTTTTTATAGTTTTTTCATAATACGATTTTAAATTAAAAATTGGGGTGCAGTGTAAACCGCCACACCTATGTGTAAAATAGGCCATGAGTTAACTTAATCTTTATAATGTTGCTTTATAGTGTCAAATAGCTCTATTGGAGCTGAAGACAATTGTGCATATATAGAAATATATAGAAACTCTCAAAAAATTATCGCGTTACATATTTGCGTCTTGCAAAATAGCATAAAGTAAATATGTAATATATAATTCAATAAATTCATGTTTTATAACGAAGTAAAAAGATTCTGGAAAATCTTATACACATTCATTTGTAGGTACTTTATACAGATAATTCCTGTAAAAGAAAAAAAATAGGAATGTGTAGCATTACTGCCTACTGTATATCAGTTTTAAAGCTCATTTTGTCAGGCGCTCATTTTTGCTTATGTTACGAAAAAATTAATTATTGCAAAATTGCAAACAGTATTATAAAAACTCTTATGCTATTTGACAGAAGACACTCTTTTGTACTAATTTGTACTTATATTTTTAAAGTTTTATTTTTACCTTTTGTTTAAAAAATATTATCTAAAAACAAAGTGGTATATCTGTATCGATGACTTTCCTCTATAATATCACATGTAATAATTTTTGACGCTCTTGTTAATCCAACATACACGATAAATTTCCTCTCATCCTTTCTCACTCTTTTCTCTCTTAAATTATAAATCTGATATATATCAACTTTGTGAATAAGCCGTGAAATCTTAGCCGACGTTTCTTCGATAATCCGCTCTTGGATGGAATAAATGTCATTAAAAAGGATTTATATTTAAATTATTGTCGCATTCTCATTTCAATAGTCTGTCCATTCACACGATACACCACTCTTCTAGTGGAAGTAAATTATCTTAAAACGCAAACGAATTTTCGAACACGGGAAAGATACAATTACGAAACAGTATCGTATCGATGGTGACTACAACAAAGACTTCAATTTTATTCGATCCGCTTCAGATTGACGAAATGGACTCATTATCGAAATGGAAACGCGACTCATTCCAGACACTACTGTGTCGGATACAATTCGAACCTTATTGAAAATCTCCAGAACTCGCCTACATTCTTCTACTTCTACTTCGAATTTTCCAAGTGAGACGAGCGAATATTAAATCTTCGACTTTTTTCGCAAATTAAACAAACACGGATACATTACAGTTTTAATTGAATATTTGTACACGCGCGTGTCTTCGATCGATCTATTCACGAAAGAATAAACTATTTGCACGTAGAATGCACGTGGGAAAAATTAAATCATCTCTTTTAATATAATATGTATTTTATGTTAAATGATGTTGTCTTCAAAGCCAGAAAAGGTGACATTAATATTTGTATTTCATTTCAACTGACGGAACGTGCTACCTCAATTATCAGTATAGATTTCCGATATAAAGTAAAATAACACATGAAGAGAGAATTGCGATCAGATTACGATCAAATTACGATATCAGTTTTGTAATGAGCTTATTTAAATATTATCTTATGTGTTACACATGAGAAATAAGATAAATAAAATCGAACCGTATATTTACACATGTCGATAATGAAATATCAGAGTCTTCCGATATATACATATAACTTGTAAACTTTAAAAGAAATCAAACGTGAGATGACAGAGAAATGTGCGGATAATTATCCCGCTAAAGCAAAATAAGAAATCGAAAAAAGTGAAAACGACTGTAAGGCGTAAATATAAAAATTATACTGTTGTTATATAATTCTTTTTATATATCCGTATATAGGGATCAAAAAGAAGTATAATTAATAATGTTCTCTATTCAAGTTAGAACGTAATCTTGTTTCAAGAATATAAGAATTTTGCGACTTTGTCTGATGAGTAATGCGTGCTTTCTTTGCAGTCTTAAATATTTTATCTATGTAATCTATTTAACATAGTCCTGAACCTTAAGATCTCTCCAGAGGCGATGACTTTTAGAATATTTTATACTTGGACAAATTTTCAGCTAACATTTTTTATAAATAATTCGCTTCTGAAGAGAGGAAATATTTTTTAAAGAGCTAAAATTGAAAGAAAGAGAGAGAGAGAGAAAGAGGAGAGAGAGAGGAAGGGAGATTAAACGGTTCGTTAATATACTTGTCCAAGAATACTTCTTTCTCTGTACAAGATATTAGGTCAAGAGAGATATATTGAAAGAGAGAGAGAGAGAGAGAGAGAGAGAGAGAGAGAGAGAGAGAGAGAAAGGAAAATGTACAGAAACCGGAAAATTCCATAAGCAGCAAACTGGGTATACAATATTTATTACGGTAACGGAAGTAATTACACTTTTTAATAGGATAATATGCAAAATTTTTCACGCTCAATTTATATATATATATATATATATATATATATATTTTCATTATGACTAATAAATAAAATTAATTTACTAAGTAAGTATTTTTTAAGTACATTCTTCTCAACAATCTTATTAGTTATTAAAATGTACGATTGTAGAGAAAAGATAAACATCCATAAAATTTTTCTCAAAAGGATATTTTCATCTCTTTGATTCACAGCGATTCAAATTTAAAGTACCCAATTTTATCTAAGAAAGGCATATACGACGTTGGCAAAGAATATATTTTATTGTTTGAGATCTACTATACTTCATATCTCCTATACTCCGAAGGAAAAAGTATCTTGCGATAAACATCTATTTTATGTAGAATTTCTTCGCAGACCCTTTTATATAACCATTCTCGACTTTGTAAGGTCGACCTTATGCTCCCTTTTACGTACCCTCATCGATTTCTGCTTGTATAATCTCGATTCCCACGGGAATCACCGATCGTGACATAAAGTAAAACGTTTCATCGGCACTTTTTCAATGAAAGCTGGAACCCTTCTCATTTGGGGAAAACGAATTTTTATAATGCTGGTAGGTGATAAAATAAAATCGGATGGTGAAGATTCTTTTATCGCGATATATAAGTGTGAAAAAGCGCTGTGCCGTGCGTAACTTTACAGGCGCCTCTCAACTTGTATCGTAGGTTGCATTATCTTCGGTTCCGATCAAGAAGTCGCCGGGGTCATGAGGGCGGTCAGGCGTCGTAAAGCGACCGGGGTTTTTTCTTGGATTGGAAGCGACGGCTGGAGTGCAAGAGGATTAGTGAGTAACGGTAACGAGCCGGAAGTCGAGGGCACTCTATCGGTCCAACCTCAGGCGAATCCCGTTAAGGGTTTCGAAGAGTATTTCCTCAACTTGACCGTTGAGAACAATCGCAGAAATCCCTGGTTTGTCGGTAAGAGAGTGCTAAAGGATGCTGAATCTACGATAAGAGCAAAACTTAGCAAATTCTAGTTTGCACGGCAATCGTAATTTGCATATGCACGTAGATATGCATTCGCATATACAGTTGTGGTTGTTAGTAAGAAGTCTCTTTATTGTCAATATATTCTGATGAACTTTTGGTACGCAAACATAATCTTGCTAAGAGTAAAAGTACAAGGTAGACAAAGTCGACTATTGTGTCGCTTATGCCAAAGAAAGTTCTTGGCAGTTACACAATTCGTCTAAAAATGTCTAATTTTTTTAAATAAAAGAAACAACTAAATTCTGAGTTTTTTTAATTATTTAATTTTAATCAAATTTCTAAAGGCTCAATGAATTAATATTAATTTCAAATAGAATATCTGTACAAGGCAATAAGCCTAGCATGTTGTTGGTGTAAAACAGATTATGTTATTCAAACTTTACATTACATACAAACTTCCAAACGTTTCGGTTTTCACAGAATCATCTTTAATGATTAAATGATAAATATATAAATTCATATATAACGTTCTTGTCTTCATTCGTCAGTTAAGTGTAGTTAGATTACAATAAAATTGTCGTGATTCTTCGTAAGAAATCGGAATGATAATCCATAACAAGTAGAATAAAATTTCTTTACCTTTATGGTAATATAGACTGTAAGTTAAGGTAAGCGATAGATTAATGAATGAAAAAATACTGAAACCCATTGTTCTTATCTTAGAAATGTGAAAAATTGCTAGATCGACAGGAAGAACAATTAAATGTTGACAGATTGTTGGACACAGTCGGAATGACATAAAGGAATGGTACAAGACAAAACAAAATAAAATCAAAGAAGGGGTGATCCAATTAGGAAAGGGGAAAATATTGTCTGATTCAATTGCTGGAATAATACATCTCTAATAGAAATAGACTTCTGAAAGAAATTCGGTGTCATTTTGCTTAATTCGTTTTTTTTTGTTTGTTTAATTGTATGGATCGTCTTAGAAATTAGTCTTTTTATTGTAATGTTTCTCGTTATTCAGAATCTGAATTCTTTTCCAGTCAAAATGATGATTATTGCTCTTCAACCCGTGTTTGTAGCTGTCGTTTAGTTTGGCCAACGTATGTGGCGTCACAATCTTAACAAGAAAATATACAACATCGTTATGAGACATAAGTATCCATTGAGTTTTTTGAAGAAACTTTTTAACGTATTAGGAATTGAAAAAACCAATCTTAATATTACATTTTCTTGTAATAGATGAAAATTTCTCTGAGATGTTCTTTATGAAAGGAAACATAAATTATTTTTTTAAAATAATATTTATCCTTGTTTAACTTGTTGTTTCGCTTTCTTTAAAAAAAAAACAGTTAGGCCCATACTTAATTGTCGAGAATATGAAGGTTAAAGGATAACAATTATTAATGAGAATATTAATGGCTTCTATGAAATTTTTTCTGTGGAAGGACAGATCAAATAAGAGAATTATTTTGTCCATCATGCCATAAACCACTCCCCTTTTATGTGATAAAGAGTGGTGAGAATAAAAATTCAAATATCTAACATCAAGAAAATTTAAACTATTGTTCTCACCAACTTTCATTGTGAACTGCAATCGCTCGTGTAACGAATTGAAAATTCTTAGTATATCGTTAAAAGAGTCAAGCGGCGCAGACAAAAAAATGTCATCAACGTATCGTAGATAGGACAAATGTACCGGTATTAGATTCAATGCTCTCAATTTTAAATCTTCTAAAACCAGATTCGGCACAATCAGGAATAGCGGAGAGCCCATAGGCGTATCAAAAATCTGTTTATAAGAAGATTTGCGATACGTCTAGTACTTAAATTTAAAATAAATCGAATTTAAATACTAGACGTATCGCAAGAAATTCATCTTGTAGGATGGAACTGTTGGAAGTCATATCCCATTTTTTTCGATATGCAATCAACAGCTAAGTCAGTAGGCTGATCACGTTAAATTTGAATTATTTGATTTTATTCAAAATACATTCTTTTAGAAGTAATACAGCCAAGCCAGAAATGATTGGTCAGTCGACATCAATCGACGGTGAATCAGCATTGATTCGACGTTGATCGGTCAATCTTTTCTGACTGAGAACGATTTGAACGCTCAATCAAATCATAAAATTACTTTTAAAAATTATTTTTGTGATGCTATTGAAAATGCTCGTCACATTGTTTGAATACTGGAAATGTTATTATAGCGACATCCTTTCATCGGTGTTTTGAGTTTTGAAAATAGTCATATCGGGAAATCAAAGCTATGTTGAGTGAGTATAGTGAATGGTTTAACATAACATGGTTTTTTGCTAAAAATGAACTAACTGAAACAATACGATAAGATGGTCATTGTCATGCAAAAGAAACCAATTGTCTGATATTCGAATTAAATGCACTGAAGATACTATCTTTATACAGATGCCTAATTCCTGTTCCAATAATCTCATAAAAAATTTTGATTGGTTTATGATGGCTAGTTTCACTTTTTCAATATTTTTTACGGAAATCGCTGATCTCGCAAGATCGATTGTCATCATTTATAATGTCAATATCTTTCTGACTACACTCAAAATGTTCAACTCATAAACTTGTGTACAGAATAGACAATCATCCTCATACACAATTTTTATCAATTGAGACATTTCGATAAAAGTTTTATCAAGTTTGAAATAATGTTAGCTCTTTGTTCGTAACTCATTTTTCGAAAACTAATAAAACTGTCGCTTAAATCGTCATAACTTAGTATCTATTCATCTGAATGTCATAAAATTTTAACAGCGAATGTAAATTATATAAATATATTTTTTAAATGCAAAATATATACACATCAAAAAGTGCTACGGTTCTTTTTATTTTAAAAAGCTCAGTTATTTTTTAAACGGATAATTTTATATGTATAACTGCGCATATGAGTGCGACACGATTTTAATTGTTTTCCAAAACAATAAAAATAAACGACACAATAGTCGGCTGGTACTTTGTTTATTATGTGCTTTAAATAAATCGATATTTAACGTTCTCATATATTGTGGATAATGTATTCATTATTATTAGCTGCTGAACGAAATGATCGAAATATTCTGCTTATGATATATCCTTATGTATTTTTACATATTGCAATTCTCTTCTCGTTAAAATAAGAGAGTTTTACGCGCGCGCATATAATATTTACTTGAAATTACATTCTCGTTTTGTACACTGTACGTTGATTTCTTAAGACCTGGTTCCACCTCTCAAAGTAAGATTATTTTTAAGTTATTCTTTTTTCTCAATTTTTAAAAAAAAGATAATTCTTTATTCTTTTCAAATTCTTAGAAAAAGGATAATTCTTACAAAAAGATAAAGAGTAAATTGAACCGGAAATTTCAATCTAAAGTTAATCTTACATTGATGAAACCGAGCATAAGTCGTTCAGAATCGAATTATCACATGTTGGAATAAAAAAAAAACTAAGTTCTTATGTTGATTTCAGAATTTTGGGAAGACCATTTTAAATGTCAATATCCAAACGCGCCTCGGACGCCATATAACGTAAATTACACGAAAAATTGCACAACGAAGGAACGTCTTACCAAACAAAATACGGAATTCGAAGACCAACTGCAATTTGTTTCCGATGCAGTAATGGCATTCGCTTACGCTTTTCGGTAATTGGAATCTTTTCTGACAGATTAGATCAGTTTTAAAAAATTGTATGTATACTACAAAATTGTAAGAAAAAGATACTATTCTTTCCCTTTTCAGAGATATGCACACCGATCTTTGCCACGGAAAAGCGGGATTGTGCGATGAAATGAAACCGATTAACGGAACGCTACTTTTGCAGTACCTGCGCCATGTGGATTTCGAGGGTAAGCTGACAAAACGTTTTCTTGGAGGAAATTTTAAAGGGCGAATATATCTGGTATGAATAATTGGAATTTATATCGCAAATCGATACATGTTTATCTTTTTGATGCTTTCGCATAGAATAATATTAATGAAAAAGATGATAGGATGTTCCCACTATTATCGTGATTAGCTACTTATATGTCTCGATCAAGTTTTCATGATACTCATAGGCGATCGAACGACTACGTTTAAGGTCTAAGCGGAGACAAATTCAAATTCGACAAGGACGGAGATGGACCAGCACGGTACAACATCATACATTTCAAGCAAACCGAAGCGGGCAAGTACAAGTGGATTCGCGTTGGCAAATACTTGGAAGGCGAACTGCGACTGAACATGTCGGGTAAACTCGTACATTTTCATGTTATGAGACACGTCTCTATCACGCTTGAACGTGTCCGTTCTATTCTACAACATCCTATTAAATACAGTACGTTCTATAGTTTCTACATTGTTGTCGTATATGTATTTGTTTTAGAAATCCAATTTAAGCTTGGACATCCTCAGCCACCCGAAAGCGTATGTTCCTTGCCTTGCGAAGTCGGTCAGGCAAAGAAATACGTCGAGGGTGAAAGATGCTGCTGGCATTGCTTTAATTGTACTCAATATCAGGTAACGTGTTTAGATAATTAAGCGCCTGATCTGATTTAATATTAGATTTCTTCATTTTTAGAGAATACAAGTACAATATCCCGAGTAGTTAATAACTCACGAGATAACAGATTTGAAAAGAATCATATACTGACTTTATCCGCTAAAATTTTCATTACACGTTAAATACATGTCAAACGAAGATAAAAGATATTTATGCAACTTCTTTATAGTGTGTCCAAATAATTTTATTTTTATGTTTTATACTTCTATCTTTTTTAAATATTTTTCAAAGTACTCATGCGGCACTCATATCGTTTTGCAACGTAATATGGGAAAAAATAATAAGATTCTTTAACAAAGAATAACGAATAATACTTGAACTCGATAAAATAATCATGTTTCTCGGAAAAAGAAGAAAGATTGGAACCCAAACGTTATTGCGAAAAACTGATGAAAAAGAATGTTAACTGAATTATATATAAATGATGTGAATTTGCGAACAGAATTATATTACATAAGAATATCGAATCCAACCGTTTTATATTCTATTCTTCAGAAAAAAAGAATTTTACTCTGTTACTCACATAGATACGGCATTCTGAAGATGAGACGCAGTGTATGCAGTGTGAACGAGGTACGCTGCCGGATGAAACACATTCGATATGCCGGGAAGTTCCAGAGGAATTCCTACGTCCAGAAAGTGGTTGGGCAATAGGTGCAATGTCTTTTTCTGCCACGGGGATGTTGGTAAGTATCTCTCGTATTTTTCGCCAAATTAATCTCCTAAAATTGAAAGATTTAAAATCCTATATATATCTCAATTGTATCTCAAATTGCAATAATCGTATTATATATTTTATGCCATAGCCATTTACATGATTTGTGCGTATACGTTTTATGCAAAAAAAAACAGGTGACATTATTTGTCTGCGGAGTTTTCCTCAAACACAATGATACGCCTGTTGTACGCGCGTCTGGACGAGAACTATCTTATGTTCTTCTCTCGGGAATTCTGCTCTGTTACCTCGTCACATTCACTCTGATATTCAAGCCCACGCACATTGTCTGCGGTATTCAAAGGTAAAAAAAAAACCTATAAATCTTTTCGGGTGTATTCCACAAGTTCCGACACGACAGGATTAATCTCTTTGTTCCTGCCAGACTGTTACAGTTACTCCGTAAATTACATTTCTCGTGTACGATCAATGCTGCCCAAGTAAGAGTGGCAGTTTTACTAGTTGTTACATGGTTCACGAATCTAATAACTCTCCAACTTATTTTTCTACTTTCTTCTTAATGCAATTTATCATGGTAGTGAGAGTATAAAAAATTTCCCTTAAAACAATATCATAGCGGAAACGTAGGTAAAAGTTTAGAGAAAAATAACGTGATGAAAAAGTAAAGATAATCGTATCTCTTTGTATATCAAACCAAAATCACTACCAGAAGTACGAATTGTATATAGGAAGCAACTTTTCTTAATTGAATAATTCTTAATTGAACTTTTTGTTAAGAAAAACGGAGATATAATTTCGTCTCTGCTGACAGATTCGCCGCAGGCTTTTGCTTCACGGTAGTATACGCGGCTTTGTTAACGAAGACCAATCGGATCTCAAGAATCTTCAACGCCGGGAGTGCAAAGAGGCCGTCCTTCATATCACCACGATCACAACTTATTATCTGTTCCGGATTGATCTCCGTGCAAATCTTAATTAACATAGTTTGGATGATTATCGATCCTGCTAGAGCGATGCATCACTATCCTACGATGGAAGACAATCTGCTCGTATGCAACAACTACATAGATACCAGCTATATGATCGCATTTACATATCCCATAATATTGATAATTGTGTGTACTATCTACGCCATCCTTACGAGAAAAATTCCAGAAGCTTTCAACGAGAGTAAACACATCGGTAAGTTTACTTTTTCATCACGATATCCGCTATATCCGCTCCTTACTATATTACACATAAGTATATCACACTGTGTTTATTGTTTACTAATTCACACTATGTTACGTTATTATTTTATAACTGGAAAAAGCTGATAGAGTCAATAAAATAACAACAGCACCGTTCTTTAAATTTTATATGTGATATGTGTAGATATAATAATAATAATGCATCATAAAAGTGTTAAACATTTATTATAATAAATATAGCTTACAATATATAAAGAAATAATAAACGCAATATATTAATCGGATTAAAAATTCAATCATACAATTACAATACAATTGTATGTAAAAGATGTTTAACATAAAAGATTATATTATACCTTTCAATTGTATATGAATAAGTCAATAAACTTTTAGCTAAATAATAATTAAATTATTAAAAATTTTTAACACTTTGATTGTTGAAAATTAAAATTATTGACCATATAATAATGTTTAACGAAATACAAAAGAACAACATTGTTAAGAAATAACATTTCTAATTCAGGTTTAACGATGTATACAACATGCGTCATATGGCTTGCTTTCGTACCTTTGTACTATGGTACCGGAAGCAACGTTGCGTTGAGAATTACCTCAATGTCTGTAACAATCAGTCTTTCTGCATCCGTGACGGTGGTTTGCCTCTTCAGTCCAAAGGTGAAGCTTGACACTTTGAATGTCTATATAGAAACGCTCGCCTTTAAAACGAACGTGATCAAGTATTCAATTATTGCAACTCCTTGTTGAAGTCTCAGATATGTTCAGTAGTTATAAATGATGACAAACCAAATTAAATTTAAATTAATACAATCGTGATCTATTTAGAAATTTTAGAATGCTAAAAATTTACATTTGCCTTAATGTTTCTCAAAATATATATTATAAATGGGACAAGTTTTTAAAAAATGAATTTTAACTTATAATTCTTTTAATGTAAAAAATTGAAATTGAATTAATTCTTTAATGTACTACAATATCGAATTTTGTTAAATCATTAGACTTTAATTTTAATTTTTTAATTTTAATTTAATTTATTATAAAGCAATTCATTTATATGTGTAGCTGTATATTATTTTAATCCGGCCTGAGAGAAACGTACGTCCAACCGTAAGGGCAGGAAGGCCCAACCCGACGAAAAGTTCGGCGATAACTGCCACAAATGCTTCGAGTATGATAGGACCGGTGACAGCAACGACAGTTTTGACAGCTGCAACTTGCGATCAAAATAAAGCCATCAAGAAACATATCGCGTCCACAATGGACTGCTCCACTCAAAGCGAATGTAAGTACAATCCTCAAGCTCTCTGTCCAATAATTCCACATAACTTGAATATAATTTTCACGTATTTTTTATTTCTCCATTTACACACTATGTCCCACAAATCATACGCAGCACCTCCGTATTTTTGTTCGCAGGCTACGAAATGGAAACGAAGGAACGAAAAAACGGGGATTCGGTAGCCACGTGCATTTCGCGATCAACGCAGACAACTGTCAATGAGAAAGAATTTGTGGCCGTCGTGACGAGTAATAAAAAATCGCCGGATGTGATCGTGTCCGCGAATAACATGGAATCAATAAATAATACGACAACGAAACGAATTAACAGCAATGCGAGAATAGGTAATGGACCGCTTTCTCAAAGCGACGTTTCCTTATAGCGGAAGATAGAGCTGTCAACAGAATCACCGGTATTAACTGTTAGTTTAAAACCGATCTCGAAGAATCCCGTTATTGTCTGATTTATTCAACTGTATATATACGATAGATCTACGCCAACATATTTTTCAGCATAACGAGATAGGCAAAATATCAATTTTGAAGATGATTTGAAAAAGCAATTAAACGTCAGATATCTCTTATCAGAGTTCGACCGCAAAATAATAACAACCAGACGCCAAATAAATTGTCAAGTAACACGTACTTAAAATTATTCGTACGATTGGATTAGAGTTGAGTAAATCTGAAGTAGAAGAAATTTATTATACGTATTGTGTGAACGTGCTGAACATATATAAACCTTAAGTTACGTGTAAAATGACAAATAAACATAAACGAAGCATAATGAAAGAGTATTAGAGTTAAAGATCGTTTTATTATTTAATTGTGTAATATAATATGTGCAACGAAGAAATGTATAATTTATAAGATTAGTATAATGATCTTTCATCATTTCATCGTACTTACTGTTATTTATAACAAATACAAAACGTGATTAAATATCAATTTTTCTGGAAAAATCTTTAAAATTATTATTCTAATAAGAACAAAACTCATTATATAATTTGACTCACATCTAACGAGTAAAATAGGTAGATATTTAGTGCTTATGCATTTTATTTTGTAAAAAAACATTAATATTATTGACATTTCGACAGACACCAAATATTCTAATAATTTCGGAATGCAATATAAAATGTATGTTTTATAATCCATATAATATTCTATTACAAATTTGAATTCGTTTTTCTTTACTTCAAATTATGATTTAATTTATATTTTCATTAAATTATATTATAAACTATTAATCACTTTAAAGATAAGTATCCAAAAAAAACCTTTTGAGATTACTTAAAACTTTCAATATTTTGCTTTATGTTTTTATAACATAATATATTAACAATTGCGAAAAAATTCTATATTATCTCTTTAGATCCACAAAATCTCTGCATTATTTCAACATTTCTTGTCATGTAATATCCTATCATAAAAATTCTAATGTTTAAATATGATTCAATAAATAAAAAAAAATTATCTTATTTGAAAAAGAATATCTTCTAATATATTTACGAGGCAAATGTGTGATTTAAGAATACTTTCATTTATTAGATAATAAATTAATAAATTTTTTAAGAAAAATGAGCATTAAGCATAGTGTTCATATTGCTACATAAGTTACACCTAATCATTGTAAATATATATTTGTAAATATGTAAACTTAGAGATGAATCTAATGCGCATTTCATATATCATCTGATATTAAATGAAATGTGAGTGCATTTTAAACGTATATTAGGCTAATACTGTAATGTTAAATTTATTGTTTAGGAAAATTTTCTGCAAACTATAGGAATTGCTCTTCGTAGAAAGGACATGCGCAAATTGCAGTATCATAATAGTAGCGCATATTTGATTTTGTCAAATGTGATTTTTGTCATTATCAGAATTCAATTAAACGTATTATAAAATAGATTCTTATTGATGTGGGAAAGACTGTGTTAATATAGGATTAGATGTATTCCATTCGCGTTAAACATATCATTTCTATACACTGTATTAAAAAATCTATTTTATATTTTGCTGTGAAAAACTTTTAACACTGCATTCGATCATTTACAATGGCCATCAATTTATCTATGATTTATTTGTATATATGTTAAATGTAATTGATGCATACTTATAAATCATTATATCATATCACTATGCATGAAATATCTCAAATCCTCTGCACATACACGAACATTAATATAAGAGTACAGCTGTGTAAATTGTACTGCTTCAAAATATAGTAAATTAAACATTTTTCTTTTTTTATCAGACTTTTAATATACATAAATAAGTCTGACAATCACAATTTAATACATATTCACATTTGTGTCGCGCGCGCGCGCACATTCACTCTCTCCTATATGATTTTTAATTTTAATAAGAAAGATAAAATTCCAATTTTAATAAAATAACATAAAACTAGAAAACTATTGAAAACGAAAGAATAAAATTTAGCACTCGCGTATTATCATGTCGAAAGAATATTCCAATGAGTACATTTGTTATACATTGTACACTTTATTCAAATAATATTTAACATATTCACTACCTTCGTGTCCGAAACCGACTCTCGATGTGATTCTGCTGCTATCACTACGTAAAAATAAGTGTTCACTTTTAATTTTTTTAATTGGTCTTTTGGTGTTATGTACATAACTGTTTAGAAACTGATCAGAAGCATCTGATACGCGGGCAATGGATATGTTAAAATTTATAAAAATTAGAATTATAATATAAAAGCTAATATGAAGGAAAACATCGGCGTTTCTCGACAGGTATTTACAGTCATATATACGCATGTATGTACATATATAAATACACTATAGATAGATAATTGTACATACGCATGTAATATCGTATATAAATAAGAATGTGTTGTGTAGCGTAAGGAATCAATTTAATTATAATATCCTTTTGAATTATGACAAAACCGCGTGAGTGATTATACGACGTATAAATTCCGAATACAATGCACAAGAACGCAATGTCAAAAATAATATATTATAAATATATACTCTATATATATATATATACGCGACTTGGAGATATTTTAAATACGTTATAAATTAAAATAGGATGGAGATAGTAATAGCGTAATGTACTCATCAAAATGAAAGTTAAAAATAAAATCGACGATGTAATTGTTGTCTACTATTTCTCTTTTCTAAGACAAATTTTTATGGAAGAAAAAAAACATTTTAATTAGCACAATTTTATTTTTCTTGCAATTTACAATAAATATAAGACAGTTCAAAGATATGGTATTTATTTTTTAAAACTACAAAGATTACAGGAGAAACGTTTGTTTTGACATTTCAAAATCACAGAAAGGAAGAAAGAGAAAGAAAGAGGGAAAAAGAGAGTGATAGAATATCCGAACGACTTGGTATGCCACAAGATTTCACCTAATTCATTTTCGGCTATTCCCAACTTGTTCCATCGACCATTAGTGGATCAGTAGCAGATCCTGAAAATCCCGATTAGATGTATAATTGATGACTTATATTTCAAACTATAAAAATATGTGTACATGTGTGTGTATACATATATGTTACACACATATATACATGTATAAATATAAATATATATATATATATATTATATACCTATACATATAAATTACACATTGAAAAGGAAGCAAAACACAGAGATTATATGAAACTTCTAAAACTTCATTTGAATAATTGACATCACTTACATAATTTACTCTCTTCCACAATTCGTAATTACATTTAAAATAAAAAAAATACAGAAAATGCATTTACGACACGAATCGGAAAAAATTGAAAACATAGATGTAAATACAGAAAATTTTCATTAAATATATAAAAACACAGATATCTTCTACCCTTAAAATAGCAACATAGTTTTATATCGACCTACAATATTGTACACCTACCATTTGTAGTAATTTTTAAAGCCTAACATGTTTTTTTAGCAACTTACGTTATAAACGTGAAGGAAAGAGAGAGGCATCAAGGGTAATAAAAAAATAGAAAAAGCCTCGCTAAAATATATTATCTTTTTATTCGAATAGCAATTACAACGCTTTAACGGACGACTGACATTTTTTTTTGCTAAGCTACATCAGTGGCATACCTTTACAATTTTTTGAATATACAATTTTCTTCAAAAACGACCTCTCGGACTAGTTACGCATTGTTCCGTCAGTAAATCGTTTAGCGACTACAAATCCTTACAAAACGAGAATCTGTAAAGTCTGAACGCAAACAGTACGAACGGTACTATTGTTGGAAGTACACGTAAGCCAACTCGTCACAATGGGCATACCGTTTTATGTGATAACTGGCAATGGGTAGGCACGTATGCATTGATAAATATGCAATACACGTTGCATTATTTATCAAATTCATCTAGAGAATCGTCAAATCCTAATTAAATTCTTCACGCCCTACAAACACAAAACATGATGTCTTTGGTCTAAAAAAATAAACAGGGATATATTACAAGAATATTCAAGCTTACCTACAAAATTATCTTTGTCACAAAGAAAAGATTCATTGTATTTTTTTTTCAAATGCTCGATGTAAAGACAATCATCACACGTTACGTATACCTCATACATATTATTACTTCGTGTTTAATGTAAATAAATAAACAATCGATTCCGTAAATAAATGCTAAATTTTATGCTAACAGTACTGAAATCCTTTATACAGTAAATACTAGTCATGATATTTAAAATGATCACAGTAAAAGTATGAAATCTATTGCTCTTTCTACATTTTCCGCTAAACATTTGCAGTTATTAAAGTGAAAATTTTTATTCAAATGTTATATTCGGTTTTTCTAAAAGGCTTCTTATACTGATGTGTGTCAATAAATCAATCTTACAAATGTATTTTGATAAGAAAAGTACTCTTAATTTTATTTGTTATTATAACATTAAGTCCATAAATGTGTCACTAAATCGAGACCTCATACATATTTGACATATACAATTCGATGCTATATATTTAGAACACGTTGTATAAAATATTATTTCCCTACTTTGTTTTAAAAATATCTACGAACTCAATATTCAGATACATAAAGGATTCTCGATTCGACATTTAGGTTATACTTTATATATAATTAATAAATTCGTTTCAATGTTACCCTTCTCATTCATAATCTTTTCATTCATCATTCACAATCTAAAAAAAAAGTTGACACAAGAGATATTTTTTTCATACATACGTTCCAATTCAATTTTAATAGCCGCAGTTTAGCCACGATTTGTAACAAATTCGAAGTATAATATCCGACTCAATGAACGGATGAACAATAGAGAAAAATATGCATTGCGCAAGAAAAGACTAAGTTTATGTCTTCCAAAACTTACCACTGACTTTGATACATTTGACTTTCTGTAACTTCTTCTTTTCTGAGAGTACTGGCATGGCTTCTCTACCCGCTTCGCTTCCTCCTGCACCAGAACTACCACCAGCTATATCAGCTTCTTGAATGCCTCCACCTCCTGCTTGAGCGGCGAGGGATTTCTTTATATTAGTAATCTAGCAACAAGAAAAAAAAACATTCATTATGGATAACATTAATTTTCTAATTAAAACTATTTAAAAAAAATAAAATAATGTAACTCACATCTCGCTGTATTCTTTCTTTATGATAAGTAGCCTTTTGTTTCTCGACATTAGCTCTAGATATTTGCTGTTCGATACAAGATAGAACTGTATCGCACGCTTCACCCCAGGCAGCTAATGTCTCAGCTACTACACCGGTATCACCTGGCCGAACGTCTCGTCCTAAACCGGCATAATCTACTTCTAACTGTGAATTTTTCTGATCTAATTTTCCATGGATTATGTCGGCGTATATTGCTTCGATAATCAAGTCCTCCAGATCTCTGACATTCTTTATGTCTAACTCTTCCAATAATACCGAGTAGGGTATACATTTGTTTTTCGTGGCCAGAGTGACAATTGTGAGATGCTGAAGCTTCTTTTTTTGCGTAGGAGTTAACTCTAATACTTTCTCTTTATTTTCCAGATAATCTTTATAAGTGCCATACGCAAATAGATTCAAAGTATTCCAATATTGGACGTAAGGACCGTTCTCTAATTCTTTGATGTTTGGCATGTCCAATAACTCGCCAAAGACATGAACACCAGGCGTTTCGACGGCTTGCCTTATGAGCTCTATGGCGGCGGCACCTTTCGCAGTTTTTGCAAGCAGCACGAACTGCTCCAAAGGATTATTAGCTGATTTTTCAGCGGTATTTCCACCTGTCATGGTGACTCCTAATAAATAATATTTATAAATAAAAGAGATCTCATGCGCGAATAACGGTATGCCACAAAATATGTATATGTACTGTTAATGACGATAGATAAAATCGCCAATAGACTACTCTGGAAAAAAAAATGTCCTTTCTTCTTAGTAATAAAGCTTTAGTAAACAGAATGCTCGTACGATCGTCTGGTCGATAGAGAGGTTAGGAAACAGACGCGTTCGTTCCACACATCAACGACGATCGAAAATGCACGCGTCGTAAGGGCACAGTCAAACGCTTGAGAATAACTTGAGAAACTCACTTCTTCGTTATCGTATTGCTATGAATATCGAAGCTAATCGAAACCTCTTTTTGGCACTGTTTCAAACTTTCGGAGGCTTCAAATCGCGGTGTAAGAAACAATCGGATTTGTCAGCCATGGCCTGTAATTGTGTGTGAGGTAGTGGGAGTTGGGGTCGTTGGGGGAGTGAGTACTTTTACGCATGCGTGAACCCCGCGACTGCTGTTTGCGCCGGAAATGCCGGAGTGTAAACTATGGAGATTCATGGAGGTGAGGGATGAAACAAGACACGAGGTAGACGAGAGAGACGAGAGATCTCCGTGGTCTTTTTGATCGATCCTCGCAAATCAACTCGAAGATTTGCTGTCCAAGGGATGCCGCAAACAGCCGCGAGTGACACGCCGATGAGAACTGATGCGATCTATTCCACGTAGTGGAAAGCGGTTTGAGGTTAGGTTCCGTTCGAACCGCGACACATGAATTATCGATTAGACGTCTTTCGTATTTAGCGTGGCCAAAACAATACCACGGCCAATCGCGCGTCTTTAGATAACAATGGTAGAGAACGGACCGGCGTACCGTAGGTTAAGTTTCCGCCGGAGTTTTCTCAACATTGTGCCACCAGTGAACGATATCCGAGAGTAACACTGACTCGACGAAGATGAGCCGGCTATGGAACTACTTGGTATTCCAGGCATGGATGTCTTATCTGATGGCGGCCGGCCTGCTGGTCTTCACTAGTGGTTTCCTCCTAAATCGTGTCTCTCGGCCGGAACGGGCCGACTGTACGCAGTGCACAACGGCGGATGATTGCGACGCGACGGACGTCCTCCAGGATACGGAACGCGCCGCCAAAGTATGTCTGAAACGCAGAGCGCGGGTCGTACTCTTGATCGTCGATGCGTTGAAGTATGAATTTGCGGAGTGGTACGAGGACAACGCTGCCGCGTCTTCTTATCATCGCAACAAATTGCCTGTGATCCACGAACTACTGCAGAAATATCCATCGCATTCTCGCCTGTACAGATTCGTGGCCGATCCACCTACCACAACTATGCAACGCCTAAAAGGTCTCACAACAGGTTCCTTACCTACTTTCATAGAGGTGGGATCAAACTTTGCTTCAGAGTACATCCAGGAAGACAATCTCATTGACCAAAATGTTGCTGGAGGCATTGTTTTTATGGGGGACGATACATGGATCAATCTATTTCCAGATAAATTCATACGGCAGTTTCCATCACCGTCGTTCAACGTCTGGGATCTGGACAGCGTAGATAAAGATGTTCAGTATCGTATCTTCTTCGAGCTGAAGAAGAAAGACTGGTCGCTACTGATAGCACACACTCTCGGGGTTGATCATTGTGGACACAAGCATGGCATGCAGCATCCAGAAATGACAAGAAAATTGAATGACACAAATACGCTTATAAAAGAGATCATAGCGTCTCTCGAAAAGGACATGATACTCTTTGTTGTTGGAGATCATGGTATGACTGAGACTGGAGATCATGGTGGTGACAGCTCCAACGAAGTCGAGGCTGCAATGTTTGTTTATTCAATGACTCCGCTGTTGAAAGGATTTGTGATTAATGATGGCAATAGCGTAAATCAAATTGATCTTGTTCCTACTCTGGCGTCGATCCTCGGCACACCGATTCCCTTTTCTAATCTAGGATCTGTAATCCTTGATTGTTTGCCAAGTAAGATAGAGGAATTAGCTGCTGGTCAATTATTGTATCCATTACATTCTCTATGGAGGAACATTGCCCAAACGAAAAAATACATAGAGATATATTCTGCAGATACGTACTTGTTTTCGAAAGAGCAGCTGCAGCATTTACATTATATATATAGTCTTCTCTCTGAGCGAGTTAAGCAAGTTGATAGTTTTGAAAAGTTAGAAGCATTTATTCGGGATACCAAAGGTTATTTTAAATTATTGAAGGACACATGTTCCGAAGTATGGGTCCAATTTGATTCTGGATTAATTTCCAAGGGTTTACTTTTGATGTTTTGTTCCTTGTTTTTCTTTTATCTATTCATCACTGGTATCCCCGAAAGTCGTATGTGTGATATATTTAAATCTTCATTTTTGCAATGTGCCATCATAGCAAATTTAGTTACCGCGGCAATTATCACGTGTTTGTTTTTGTTAAATATTTTAGAGGAATTGAGGAATACAACTTTTTTTGTCACTGGTGCAGTTTCTATTGGTTTATTAGTTATAGTAATCGCTCAAAATTGGGATGTCATATCGATGTGTTGGTATGATCATCGTCGAATGAAGCTGTTGACCTATGTAGCTAGAATAATACTTCTTCTAACGGTATGTGGACTCTTCTCCAACAGTTACATAGTCGAAGAAGACAAAGTCTTATCCTTCCTGTTTGTTACACTTGTATGCCTGCTAATATTTGACTTGAGAAAGAACGATTCCGATAGTACTACCGAGAGAAAGACAAGATTCACTTCAAAACCAATAAAATCAAATTTCAGAATAATTGTACTAATTATCGGCTTACTAGCATGCGCCTCGGTGAGGCTATCGCATTATTTCTGGCGCTGTAGAGAAGAACATCTACAACGGGAATGTTCTATATTTGCAACTGGAAAAGTTGGTTGGTCCACAATGCCAAATAACTGGGAGCGTGCTCTACTCGCCGTTTTACTTGCTTCAGTCATCCTGGCATCATATGTGGTAATAGTTAGACTATGGTTGCAAAGCTGTGGAAATCTCACAGGCTTTGCCCCCAGCGTCATAGTAGGGCAGTATTGTCCGGTAATTGTAAGTGTTTGCATGGGTTGCTATTGGATTTTGCAAAAGCTTCCGAAGTTTGTCAAGCCGAAACTCGCACTATCTTGGGAGATCAATACGCTACCCAATGTGGTTTACTTTTTCTGCGTCCTCGCGATTCTCGTCCTCTACTATCGTCCGCTTAGTATATACTTGCTGCCAAAGAAGAAAGAATCTATCGACGTCTACCGTGATGAAAATATAGTGCCTCGATTATTCGAAAAGATAAAAGACTCCATTTCCCGTAAACGAATAGATACTGACGAACTTCCGGTCATTTATGGTTTCGGGACAGCCTACAGCGCTGCATTTATCTCGTTAAGTGTATTTCTTACACTTTTGTACGCATTATTATTAGGAGATACTCTGTCACCTGGTACATTCTTGATGTTTACAACATGTGCTTGTATATTGGGTTTATCCGCGATAGAGAGATACAAAAATGCTAATAATATTTGTAAGTGTACACACTAAAATATATATTATCAGTATATATTTAGATCCTTAATTTTTTTCTAACACTTTATATTTATTTTATACAGCTGAACTAGTTGACGTATCGATGCCTGTATTACTTTGCTGGTTCTTACTGGCTGAATATTTCTTTTATGGAACTGGTCATCAAGCGACGTTTCCTACCATTCACTGGCATGCTGCCTTTGTAGGAACTGGTGGTCACTTTTACGGAAATTTAGTGTCAGCAATTCTAATTGGTGAATATTATTACGGCTTCATTAAAATTTTTATTGACTAAAGTTTTTTAATAAAATGTTCTTTTTCAGGTATTAATACGTTTGGATCGCATATTTTACTAGGAGCAACGTTACCATTATTAGTAGTCGTGCCATTTACATTGCATCGGATATTTCCAAAATTTCTCAAAGCAAAGTTTTTCGATGATATAAAAAGAGGTGAACTTCTCCTGTTCGAACAAGATTCTGCTTTTCATGCTGCAATTTTTGCGATTGCGGGGAAGTACACATTACTTCACGGAATTCGAGTATGTTGCATAAAATATGTATAAGATATTAAACTTTGGATTATTTTGCTTTTCTCTAAAATAGTTTAAAAGAAATGTGTGCATTCAGATATCTGTATTATTAATTATTTATTTTCCAGACTTTCGGCAGCATGCTCGCAGCAACTATACACTGTCGGCATTTAATGGTTTGGAAGATATTTGCGCCAAAATTAATATTCGAAGGATTAGGATTCTTGGTAACGTTGGGTAGTATACTAGCATCGTTTTACATGGTATTCCGTATTGATCAACAAATGGAATATCTTATCACTAGAGTCACAAAAGGCAGATGATAGTGACTCACTCTTAATGGAGTATAGTACAATCAATAGCAAAGTACCAAAGTCGTAAGAACATTTCGCTTTTGCGATGAATCTGAAAGTTGCTCGTTACTTACGAATATAGATTCGTATCTCTAGCGATTCGAACCGTTAAGATATGAAGTGGGCAACATACAAATCTATACTTACCACGATACTGCCAATATTTCCACAATTTTGTATGAAAGTGTAACAAGGGTAAAAATGAAATCAGGTATATCTAGCGAGTATTATAAATAACATTTTTCGTACCGAAGTAAAGAAACTTGTCTCTCCATTTCTTCGATTTGATATTAATGTTAGATAATAATGTATACCTCTTCTCTAGAACGCTATGTCGCGTAACCAAACTGTGATGCTTCCTAACACACTAACGCTACCCTGCGTGCAATGCATTGCTGATTGACGAACAAAGCAACGCACTTGATGCAGGATTGCGTCCGTGTGTCGCGGTCTGTCTGCGCGACTGATGGGCACATCAAGCGTATTATACTGCTATTATTAGAATATGATTAAATAGAAAATAGATTAGATACTATCACAAAAAGAGCATTCACCTTTCATATCCTTCAGTATACATATACATAGAAAAAGTACAGTGTATTACGATTAATGAAGAACAAACGATACAATAAATCCGGCATTTTAGATTCGTTTTTTATATATGATATCTCGATATTATGTATCGCAGATAATTTTAAATGATTCTGTAATATTGTCGTTTCTCTTTTATCTTCTGCCAAATATATTTTATTGGAAATAATCGATTAATATCGTACATGTTTACTTATACTTTTTGAATAACAACATTTTTAAAAGATTTTTCATTGAGAATTAATCATGTAAATATAGTGAAAGAAATATTCCTTGATACTCATTCTTGTGATACTGCATCCAATCAGCCCATTTGTTTGAGTTTCCGTAAGCGTTAGGCCCCTGCGACAGATGAACAGATGCCCGCGATATTCATAATTCAGAAACATTTTACACGTACTTAACTGTAATTAATACTTTGAAAGCCTGGAGCTTGAGAGTTAGGCAATTTAGGCATTTGAATCTGAAAACAAATGAGGTTATTATATTTTATAGTTTCTTGTGCGAATATTACTCGATTAAATAGAGAGGAAAACAAAGAGATCTTCGGCGAAAAATGTTAAGTAATTAACTTCCTGTTTCCCGTTTTTGAATGCAATAATTTTGTACATAGGCTTCCAAAGTATTATAGTTATACTATTATACCACTATTATAACATATAAAATTGTATATATATATATATATATGCACATTGCCTTGCATTAAATTATAAAATAACTATTTTATTGTTTCGTTGTTATAATATTTAATTTAACTTTCATGATTTCTTAGTAAAAAATCGTGTAAATAAATAGAGTTTGTAAGAGTAGATTTAAGAAATGGTAAACACATTAAGAATCATCTCTGATACTAATATGTTTCTTTTTTTTATACTATGAGTCAAAGAGAGATTTCTGTACATTTTATAGACGTCGTAATATTTATATATTAAAAAGAGCAAGAAAATGCAAAGCATTGACGTTAATGATAACATTAAAATAATATCATTCCAAGATAATAATAATATGTAATTATGATATAATAATAACTGAAACATTTTTTAAGAAAAGAGAGAATAATATAAATCAATTAATAATTGTTGTGTCCAAGTAATATTTAGCAAGTAGCATTTGAATATGTAACATCAATTATTGCACATTTTATTTTTAGAACTGAATTTCAAAACTTTCCAAATCTTTTTTATTGTAATTCAAGATGATTTATGAATTATTGTAACAAATTACATTGTGTTATAAATTGTAAGTTTTAATAAGAAATATTATACATGTCACAGCTATATACAGCAAAATTTGTATGTGAAATTGAATTTAGGTATTTTTATAATTAATGATTCAAATTTTTCTTCTTTCTCTCTCTTAATATTTCAGTTAATTATCACTAAAATTACTTATCTTCAAAATAAAATCGCACTTACCAGCAATTTGATTCCTCCTCCTTGATGTCCAGGTGTAGAACCTCCCCCCGCTTGTACAGACTCCACCGAACCTGCAGGTAGACTTTGATAGCCCTGATGCATCTGCATTTGTACACCTCGCCTATATTGGCTATGATCATGCCGATCATTATCGTTTTCATATCCGAAGTACGGTAGTGAGTCATCGTCTATTTGCCGTTTTACAGCAGGCGCCGAACTCTCAGGATAAGACACCCAGAAAGATGTTGGTTCTTTGGACAAAGCTCTGCTCATTATAGAATTTTCTTTGATGGGATCTGCTGAATAAACTGGATAAGAAGCCGAATAGGAAGTCGGAGTTGCACTGTCCACAGTGGATATTTTCTTCAGAATGGCGTTTAAGAGAGTGTTGTTAATCGGTGAAGCTTCAACTGCATTAGCTAATGGAACCTTCGACAATTCCGGATTATCTGGTGTGCTAGCATTAGTTGCTATCGCGTTTTTTGCAACCACACTGATGTTTCTTTGCAGCTCCGTTAGCATATCAAATACTTGGCTAAGTGCAGTCATTCTCTGCTGGAACGGAAGCGTTGGATCGATTGTTGGCTTCGCAAAAGGAAATGCACCAGAAAAAGGCTTAAAAGGTTTTTTTGCCTTAGCGGCAGCGGCTGTCGCACTTTTTTCATATGTGATCAGATCATTTAAAGTCGCTATCATATCGCCTTTTAAATTGCCAAGCTCTGACAATATCGTATCGATAATTGTATCTTTAGCAGCTGCAATAGATGATGCATCATCTAAAGATCTTGCGATTTTATCCGATGAACTGTCGTCGGGTTTCAGAGATCTCAGAAAATCGCTTTTTGTGTCTGAATCATCACTTGCTTCTAGTGCGGTTACATTTATACTATCAAATAGTTTGTCCAGGAAGTCAGACACCTTCTGGGTATACTCGGTTGGGCCGGGAATTACAGAGGACGGTATCCAGAAACTAGAAGGTACAATAGTGCTTTTTGGTGTAGGTACTTCGGTTGTTGATGCTGGAGTGCTAGTGGCAAGATTTTTGAAGAGCGTGTCCAGAAATTCTGATTTCTTCGAAATGATTGCACTTGGATCCACCACTGGACCAAAAGAACTACTTGGTGTAAAAGATCCACCTGGTCCAAAAGGTCCGAACATTCCCGGCAAATATTCCTTTGACACACCAGCGGCTGGTTTTGTTGCCGATATACCTTCTACTACCTTCGGATAAGATAATGAGCCTGGAATGGTATTAACGTTTTCTGCGGAAGAAGGTACTTCTATGCTTCTTTTTCTTCGGGAGAAAGATGCTTTATCCATAAAATCTGGTATTGTTTCTGATGAAAATGGTGTAAAGGGACCGAATTTTGGACCCGTTGGATTTATCGGACCCATTGGGCCGAACTTTGGAGCAAACGGACCAAACATACCGCGTTTATACATATTGCTACTATCAATAATTTTTTCTTTACCATCTTGTAGCATGTCTCGTTTATTAAATAATGCATTTGCACTATCAATATTATCTGAAGTCGGTCCACTTACGCCATATGGAATGATCGGTTTAGTATCTGCTACGTTATATGCAACTGGTCCTATACCGCCGAATAAGTTACTCAGCATATCTGTCTTCTTAGAAATAAACGCCTTTGGATCGACGAACTTTGGCATGAATGAAGATTTTGGCATATAAGGTATAGATATCGTGTCTATTCCTCCTGGAGGTCCGAGAGCTCGCGAATAAACTATGAATTACAAAATAATAAGTTAATACAATATCTAATATCATTATATATATCTTTTATGTGTGTAAAGGATATTAAGAAATTAAAAAGCATTGACAAGAAATCTACATTTTAAACTGAATGTAAAATTGTTAAATTTTTATTGTTCTTTTTTATAGATATCCATTTTGTAATCTTAAAATTTTGAAATAGAAAGTAAAAATCTTAGAAATCTTACGATGTTTCATAATTAACATATTAGAAAATTCTAAGAAAAGATGTAGATTTTCTGAGAAGTTTTCCAATTCGTATAAAAAATGTGAGAAAGTTATAAAATTATATAGAAATTCTGAAAAATTATATGAAAAATTCTGAGAAAAATTTTCACCAGGGTTCTTGAAATTTAGTTTTCTATTTTGCATTTGAAATCAAGATTATTTGAATTTGGATTTAGAAGACATTTTGAAGATAAAAAACTATTTTCTTTAAATGAATAGCAAAGTTCTCTTTAAATATAATTAATAATTTTCTGTACACATATAATTTCTTTATATATTATATATAGAGAAATAAAAAGAACTTACCTGGTTTAGACGCAAAGTTTGTCCATGGTGCTCCAGGTGGAAGTGCCAAAGTTAAACTGGCAACGAATGCTAGGCAAGTGGAAAGTAGAAGTGCTTTCTGTCGGGACATTGTGCTAAGTAACATGGTCCATGCCGTGAACTCGCTTTTATAATAACCATTGACTAATAATCCTTGCAAAGTCTCCAGGATTATCTGCATGCATGGAGAATGTTGCTACCCAAGCTCCGCAACGGAGCCTTATTAAAATAATCCATTCGCCACATGTAAAATTTGCAGATGTGCTTTAATTAACCGAAACAATTTCCTCTCAGAGAGAAATGCCATTTCCTTCTTAAAAGCATAAGTATGTCTATTTTAAACAGTGGAGATAATCGTACTTTCTCAACGAAAGAATATCAAATAAAAGATAAGAGAAACTACTACATTTAACATAAAAAAAATATATAGTTGTAATATAAAAGAAATTAATTTTTTTCTTTTCAAAGTCGCTTATTTTTCTGTTCACTACGTATATAAATAGCGCATTTTACGGATGCGATCGGATTTTAGTCATTTTACAAATGAGCCGTGTATATTACATCGTCAGCTGTTTTCAATAATGGAAATATTTCAATTATTTCACAAATACCTTATTTTGACTCATCGAATTTGGTAGAATACAGTCATTATAAACTATTTGTCACTCTTGAGTCTTACATTATTACGAGTATGGATTTTGAGCAGCGTGAGTAATACATTTCAATACAATTATCCAAATATACGAATAATAGTTGCACAGATTGTGGTTATCAATTCCATTCAATCGTGTATATTTATATGATTATTTATCATGGTCAAACGGTATTTCACAGTTATAAATAGAAATTATTTGATAAATATATAAAATTAGATTTAATTTTTTTAGAAGATTTACATATATAAAATAATAAAATTATTTATAATTTTGTTATTTTATATATGTAAATCTTCTATATTAAATATATAGGATTTCATTTTTTAATTTTAATAGAAAAATTAATTAGAATATTTTTTAACTAGAGAATACAAACGACACTGATTCTATTGCAGCAGCAATAGATTTTTCATCATTATATTCAGCCATACATCATGATTACAAGGGAAACAACATTTCGAATATAATCACGCAATTATTGCATATATATCAACCAAAAGATGGTATCAATGCATATGAATATGTGCTGAGAAAAGTTCAAGCTTTACTAGAAGATTGTGGTTTCCAAAAAAAGCATTTATTGCTTTCAATGATTCCTCCTCCAGATAACACATCAGACCAAATGATTAAAGAAGTGTTTCGTACAATTACGGGTTTTACTAAAATCAATCTGCAGGAAAAGTAAGCGATCTCTTTACACAGTACAATCTTTATTATATAATTGTATATCTCATATATTATTACAATATTAGCAGCAATACATTTCAAAATATATCTGATATTAAAAACATGGATAAAGTAATGGATATTTCATCACCAAAGCAAAATTTGTTATGTGATAAGAATACATCGAATTTCAAGTCATCGCTTTCTGAAGCTTTTCCTTTCCGAGGTTTTTCCGAAAGCGAGATTTCTATGATTCCCAATCATATAAAAAACGTAATCCATTTTAACAGATCCATATAATGCGATTTTTCATTTATAACTGATGTCAATTTAAATTCATATTAATCAATAGGCAGTTTCATCAAATCATCTAAATAATAATTCGAAAAATTGGCTGGAGAGAAATAAATATCAAATGCCGTCTTATCGACAATATCTACTTAATAAAAAGTATTATGTACCGGCTAGAATTCATATGCCTAATAATACCATTGCTGAATCACACCCTTGTCACTTGTCTCAGACGATATATAAGGTCTGTTAGAAAAAAAGAGAAATAAACGAAAAAAGATATAAATAAAATAAAATTACAAGGTATTAATACATTTTAGGATACACGCTCTACGAAGACTAGTAACAATACTGAGATAATAGATTTATCACAAAATAAGATTCCCCAACAATTTAATGATGTTAAATACAAATATAAAAAATATGAAGATGCATTTGATAAAAATAAAAAATCTGGCATTTCACACATGACAATTGACGTTGGTCAAGACGCAACAACTAAGCAGACACTTAAAGATGAGATACATAAAATGGATGTGTGTTGTGATGAAGATCAGAATATTATCATAAGTGTATGTAGATAAAATATAGAGAATTTTAAATTAATTTTAGTTTAGAACAGTTAAATAGAATTTAAAACTCTAAAAGTAAAATTAAATTAATTAAATTTTATAGGCAGACGATCTTTTACCAATACCTAACGATAGACTTAAAACAAGCTTGAACAATTTTTTAAAACGAGCGCAAGAAGGAACTTTCGTTGGTAACATTATTTATTACACCAATGTATTTAATATATTTGTAATTATAGATAATATACAAAATTACAAAAGTAATTTCTCATGTATGCATACAGAATCGACCTTTCCACGCATCATATCGCATCCACAGGGCTTCTTGAATTTGGTATGTTTTACATCGAACGACCCAAAATCTGGAACACCACCAAAAGTTTTAGAAGATTTTACATCTAATGTCTCAAATAGCGATACCAATAGCTGCTTATTTTTAAACAAGCAGAACACAAATATTAACATAGAAAAAAATCAAAAAGAATCGGTTGAAAGGAGAAAACAAAAAGCTATTACTTATGTTAATGAATTGCAAAAGAAACACAATTCTCAGGAATTTAATAAAATAATTAAATTACAATTACAACAAAATAATTTAGATTATGATATGGAAAAGAAAGCGACTACATTCGAGTGCAAAGATAATACGGAAAAATTAAGACACGGGTAAATGTGTTTATTCTATCGAACTTCTTAGTCACGTGTACAACGCCAAATAATAATAAAACGATTTCTAATTTAGATGCGAAACGATAGAATCAAAATCGGATAATGTAAATTCCGCAAATAATTTTCAAGCTCGTTCAATGTCTGAACTAGCTGCATATAAGAAACGATATTATGACACGTTATTAAAGGCTCAGAAGGCGAAAGGTTAATTTAAAAAATTACATTACATATGTATATATATTTAAAATATTCTGTTAATCAATCCTTCAGACATATTTCGGTGTACTTTGTATGGAATACAATAAAATATTGTGATTACTTAGACATAAAAAGTGTTAATAAATATATTGATTACTTAAATTTGTTACAGTTGCAATATCGAATTCTTTAGCGTCTCCGTCGGGTCATTTAATAGCCTATGATGATCCGTATTATTCGAATTACATGTGCCAGCAGCAACACCTGCTTCATCAACAGCGTCACACGACGGTGAGACCGCAATTTTCGGTATATCCGACGGATCTATCCGGATTATCGAGTGTACACCGTGATCAATACAGTTGGACAAAATCCATCTGTAAATATTTATTACTAAAGCAATTAAGACTTCAACGGCAGGTAAGAAGATATAGAGACATAAGATTATTCTAAGATATATTTACTTACCGGATATTATTGCAGACATCACCTCTGTATGCCCGAAATGAAAGGTAATACATTTATGTGCTTAATATAATTGAAATATATCAAAAATATGATCTTTGTTCTATATTGGAGTCGTATGTTATGTGCTATTTTTTCGATTTCTTCATTCTTCGAGTGGTTGGATTCATCGCTATGTTGGACACGTATATCCTTATTCTTCTATGTCAAATGGAAGCGATCAAACAAAGTACTGCATACGTCGTAAAAACTTGGAAAACATAGTTGGAAAATTGAAGGAGATCGAACGTAATAGTATCGATCTCAATAATTGAGCGATTCTAATACATTAATTCGATGAAAAGTTCCATTGAAGTTACACACGCAAGTGATATTCCTCTTAATTCCTATTTAATATCTTCGAATATCAATTCGAAGAATTAATTAATATAATAGTAATGATAAAAATGTTGAAAATTCATGTAATTGTAGATTGATATTAGATGTATATAAGCTCGATATGAATCTTATTCTAAAATATTCTTTTTGCATTAGCCTTGCCTTTGCGTTGAAAATAATTATTATGCATTGATAATGGAAATATTATGGTATATAACGATTTATATATACATTTCTTGATTCTTAGATATTCCGATCTTCCTAAGGCGTAGCTCTTATGAAATTTAACAGATCGCGCAATGATTTTGATATTTCCATTTGTATTTCGGACGATTACGTGACAATGGTTTTGCAATGACATACGCGCGAAATATAATGTCGTACTTAGTTGTCGCCAATCAAATTGTGTTTAACGCATTTACTAACAAATGTACATTGTTTTTGTTCAAGTAACGTTACACAAAGTTCACTCTGACTAGATTTGTGATATATTGTTAAGTAACATACACAATCATACGCACAACTCCACACAGTCAATAGTGTATAATATTCGCCGCTTATTTTACTCCTAGATGTATAAAATGACATTTAAAAGAATATGTGATAATGCTATAACTTAGGTGTTACGTGACTCATGAATCATTTATTGTCTAGATCATTCGCTATCAGCTCGACAAATCACCAAGATATCATATATCGCATGATATCTTTGCGTCATACTTGGCAATCTGCCCAGCCGTTTTATTTATATTCATATCCATTGTTTTCAGACTTCTGAAAAGACATTCGACTCACGATTCGCCTAACAATCCTATAATATGTCACTACAATTTGATGTCCACTATAATTATTGGCAGCATCACATTATTCATTCACATGTAACGAAATATATAAATACAATGACACTATATATATTAATACCTGAATACATTCACATAAATATTAAAACACATTAAAAATACCTAAACAAGACAAATATTTCGTATTTGGGATACGTAACATATGTAACGTGACATAGGTCTATCGTTTAGCAAATGAGGACTTAGGCCAGTTAAATTATTTTATTAGGAGAATTAAAACAAATTGACAGGAATTCATTCTGAAATTAAGTTTCTAATTTTCGATATCGTAAAGAATACATTCTGTAATTAATCGAATGTGTTCATTAAAATACTTATTTTAATCATAATAATTTTTCCTATCAATTCCTTTTAGCTCGCCTGATTTTGAAGGGATCTCAGGTCATATATAGATTTGGATTGTCATGCTATTACTACAGGTCACTGTCAATCGAGCTTAGTATATAAAGAAATCTGCGTCTATTAATCGTAATCGAAATTTATTGCCTGAATGATAATTTATTCATACAAATTCTAAGGAAACAGTGCTTTTCATGTATCACAAACATACTGCTATTATTTATTATATTAACTTCGTTGAAGCAAATAATTTTACGAATATCAAAGTCAAGTGATAGTTTAGTCTTTATTGTAATAACGATGACTTTAATCCATTAGCTGTCCCTTATCTGATAATACTATTTAACAAATGATGTTTTTATATTTTTCCTGAAAAATTTGAGAATTAGCATTAAAAAAATCTGTTATTATTACAAATAACAATATAGAACGTGAAATAAAATGATATAAAACTATGTGCACGATTCGAATTACCAGCCTTGGGGGGATGTAAAGTCATTAAGAAAACTGAATCGGTATTACATTACATTTAAAAAGAGCGTTATATTTCCTCTGGCAGTGCTTGTACACTTTGATCTCGCTCAAGGCTAATTGTTTTATACACCAAGTGATATTGATAAATTAGTTACTCCTAATAAAACATAATTTATGTTGAGATAATCACACTCATATAGATAATTCTCAGCATACCAAAGATAAATCATATAGAGAAATTACACACTATATCTCATTATATCCAACAAAATAAGTTGATACTTTATATTTGCCACAACGAAGCTGCTATATTATATGCTATTTCTCTTTATGAATCTATATGAACACGCATTTCTCTTACACTATTAATTGATTTAAGGTCGCATCAAAGTTCGATAAGTGTGTAATTTATTTGTGTTTACACTCGCGGCATCGTATCAAAAGACAAAAAATAGCTGTTGTTAGACAAAATAGTTGTCTTAATCAAGATTAGCTAACATGTTTATATTCATTCGATCATATAATGGTCGTGATACATTGAACGAAGGAGAAACAAAATATTATAGAAATTCTGAAGACTAGATAATGTTATTATATATTAAAAAAGACTTAATGGAATTATCAATCAGGAAACAAGCGCTTAACAGTTTTCTTCTAAGATGAATTGTACTTCTAACACGATATGTATATACTAAAAAATACTTTGCTCTTTAATTTGATGGATTATTAAGAAGATATAGTTGTACAAAAAAGTGCTTGACCAGAGTTGACTAGACTCTTTCATTAAAGGATTAATACAATAAATAATACTATTCGTTTATATAATAATTTTAAAACTATGTAAGACGTACTTATAAATAATGCATACAGGAACAGGGACGGATCATTCTCTTTTAATAACAAATCAGTAAAAATCTATTAATTTTTGTATTATGTATGTGAAAAAATTCAATTTAAAGATTTAAAATTTAATAAAAGATAATCAATTATATATATATATATATAATTTTGATTAATTATAATTAACCAAATTAAATAATACTAATTTAAAATTTGGTTAATTATAATTAAATAAACTTGTGTAATTTAAATGATTTATACATCCGTCCTTGTGCAAGAATGATTTACTATTGTAATATAATGAGCACATTTCAGAGTGTGAGCTAATTGGAATAATACAATAAATAATCGTTCCACGCATACTATTCTGTTCATACGGGAACTAATGCCAAACCGATCTTCCAATGCAAAGATTAAATCTTATAATTTTATTATAAGTCAATAAAAAGTTCTCTTTATATGAAATTATTTTTAGCATTTTTCTCAAAACGTGCTTTAATAAAAATTTAAAATTCTATAAGGCCATTGTGTGAAATATATATTTATAAAGGTATTGTCATTGCAAAATAAAATATTATCGTGATTTTACTATTACGCCGATTATTAATAAGTTATCCGGTCATAAGCTTAATTAAAACTTAAAACAAAATTTAATTAAGAAAGTTACTCTAAAATTTTGCGAATATATAATCTTTTTTCCTTTATTAAAAATTTTATTAAAAGCATTGTTTATGATATAATTTCATAAACTTCGATTTTCGCATATTTTACTTATAATCACATCGTAATTTTTTAAGCATTTTAAAATAAATTAATATGTTTAATTATATATATAACTAGTTTCATTTCCTTAAATAATATTAAAATATAATTTAATAAAAGAAGAATCTTGTGCGCTTGTGTTTCAAGAGTTTGCAATTACATATAAATTTAAATAGACAAGTCGCAAATTGCAGTTGCAACTGCCGTTGTTTATATGTAGGATTGATAGAAAGATCGGTCTAGCTGCATTTTATTATGTATGTATATAATCCTTTAATATATACACTTTCATCTTAAAGAATAGGCGGTTTCTCCCTGCATGTACTAAACGTTTTTTCAAGTATGCATGGAGCTCAAAATATGTTGGCATCAAAATATGATAGAAATAATTAGTTAAATATATATTAGTGTTACGTGCTATATAGTGGTCTTATACTTACAAAATCCCATTAAAACTTACTTAGATTTATTATTTGGTACATGATTGGAATGAAGTGGCATTATTTGCTTATCAAAGTTGGGCAGTCTGGTTTTGTGTGATGCAAAACGTCAGGACCCGAACAACTAAAGAGAACCTATCCTCTTGGCAGCAAAATGTACAAGGCAGCAATAATTTTATACAAGATCTTAAATCTTTGGACAATCTTTGGATCTTAAATATTCGTCCTGCAAAATTCGATAACGACGAACTTGATGAGCCCTATAATAAGTCCGAGCTACATCTTTTTCACCTATTGCATGTACGAAATATAGTAATCTATATATTTTACGTTAACATTCAATTTCATGCACAGTTGAAAACACAGACACAAAATATAAAATCAAGATAACTTTCTGTTTCAGTGATTACACATCATTTAATATTAAATATAAAATCAGACATTTTGTATGCAAGCAAGAAAAAAAGTACAAAATTTCAATTGTAATATCATTACTGTAATTGAATAAAGTGTTTAACGTAAAGTATATAGATGTATTCGGTTTATAAAAAATTTTGTTATGTCACAAACTGTTCACAGAAACTGCTCAGTAGAACAAGTTCATTTTTTACCTAAAGTGTGTGCTTCATATTTCACAAGACGTTCAGGTAAAGCTGTAAGGATCAATAGTTTTGCTAGAACAAGGTTGAACATCATCTGGTGGTGGGCGCCACTGTCCGGACCACATAGCGTTACGAATCACATTCGCATCAGTAGTTTCTTCTATACCGTTGCTAGACGTACATTCCGCCTCCCAGTTTCGAAGACCATTTCGAGTCACTCGATTGATCGATCTAGCCTCATTCATTTCACAATAATTCTGTGCGTCATTGTTCACTGGCATTCGCCTAGTTTTACTTTTAATTTGCATAGTACCACTATTCCTACGTTCAGTTTCGGGCCACGGCTGAGACTGCTCCACTGTAGACTGTAAAGGTAACTTTCGCGGTACTCTTCTAGTCTTCGCTTCCTCCGCAGTAACAAGGCTAGCATCGATTTTACTACTACCTGGCGCGGTTCCGTCACCAGTTGAACTACTGTCACCCTCTTTCCTTCGTCTTCTTCGTCTCCTTTCAATTTCAGTATCTTCTCGCTGAGTATCTTCGTTATTCGTATGTGTTTCTAAAATATGTTGCTTAGCTGTAGCCCAATGGTCCTTTCTATTTGCGCCTTGTTTAAATTTCTCGTGATTGCTACCGCGATGGCCACCGTTACTAGTGTTCGTATCACTGTCCACGTTACGTTTCTTCGATTGCTGATTTTTCACGGCCCATGAAGCCGGTCTCTTAGGACTACGTTCCTTCAAAGTGACCTGCATTTTAGATTATATTTACACCGTGATTGCTAATCAATATTTGAGCTATAAAACATGCAAATTATTTACCCCAGAGGAAGAAGAATTGTCAACGGGTTTATAAAGTTGGGTTGGAGTATGACTACGAGAATCTTGACCTTTACAACTTGATCCACTACGACAATGTATCCAAGACAGTAAAAATGCTAAAAGAGCACAGAAAAGTCCCACTACTGCTGCAGCAGTTAACTGAGAACGTGTGCGTCTTGGTACCCAACCTCCACTGTGATATTCCCATATTGTACATGCTAGTAATGCGCTACTTGCAGCATATGACAAGCCTATGCCAGTGAATACTATAGCATTCTAGAAAAAAATAATACTCTTATACATAACAACATCAACTAATATATCTACACAATAATTTCTTATAACAATAATAATTATATAAATAGTTTCTGAAACATACATGTGTTAAGCTGATATTACATTTGTTGTACAATACATTTTTCAAGCCTGTCGATTGACTATTGCATAGAGAGATTTGGAAACCTCTCTACAGTCAATTAACACAAAAGTTGAAAAATTTGTCATATGACAAATGTAATATTAGTCTTGTAGTGAAACATTACTTACCAGCCTAGTCCAATTTAAAGGAAGGATGTAAATGACATGCGAAATATCAAGGAAGAGAAGAGCTGCAGTGACCAAGAAACAGAAAACAGCTACAAAGATCATGAATCGTAAACGATCTGCTAAAGGCAGCATAAAAATGCTGACCTTGGCAGTGCCAGAACTGCATAAAGTTGCCAAACAAGCTGCAGAAGATATCTACGAAATGCGCTCATTAATTTATCTATATATAAAACAATTGTAATAGCTTAAACTTTGAGTTTGTCATATAATTTCTACATAAAAATGACTTTACACTCACGAGTAATAAGAGTCTAACAACACCCGTAGGTGTTTTAAGATGTCCTTGTATGTCGCAGTAAATAACCACATGGCTTGCACGAGACCAAGGCATGGTGTTTGATGAGCCAGGTCTATGATCACTATTACCATAGTGACCGTGATAATTAGCATGCGAATCCCAAGAGTGGACTGTCGAGTTCACCCCTGGCGAATCCAGCTCTGATGATTGGGAGCTGATTTGCCCCCCTGTCCTACTGCCTGCTATTGATACAATATTAAAACCATGTATATATCCGTATATGCAGTTATATAGATATAACTCTAATAAAATAAATAAAAAGACAAGTCAGTGTTAAAATTTTAATAACTATATATTATCTTGATATTACAAAAAATGACCATAAAACAATTATTGATATAGCAGATATGGAATTTCAACTTTGTATATATAAACAAGATTCCATATTGAAGTGAGCTATATTAAATAATACACAAACATTAATTAAAACATTGAAACACATACCAATTTCGAAGTCTTGAATGTCTTCGGGTTTAGAATATATAGCAGGTGGTGACTCCAGGTCGCGTATCTCTTCTAGAAGAAGCACTTCTATTTCCTCGGCTGCGTATAAGTCCGAGACCGAGCGAATAGGATAATGCCGAGTCTCGCTCATTACTTAGGTGCGCGCACTCATTTACTCCTTCTTGCCTGCAGTCGTACCTTTCTGTTTGATTTGCCAGCCACCATTCGTTGTCTAATCGATTCGATAACAAGTCCATTCGTCTATCAGCCATCCTCTGCATATACCATGTGCCATTTCTACCTTTGCAGGCGAAAATATTTTTTCGCCTTCAAGCCATACACCTATCAATAAAAGAAAATGCTTAAAATAGCTTATTTAAACTTATATTTTATACTTGCTCTTCTAGTATCATTTTGTACATTTTAAGGTACAATCAATATTTTCTTAAAACTCTTATTCAGATTTCAATGTATAAAAAATTAATAAAATACCATCTAGTTTTTATTATAATGAAACTTATTGCTAAAGGTTTCATAAGTATACAAGAATTTTTTTCAGATTTTTATATAGCAAAACTGGAACCATAAAACATATATGCTAATTCTCTGAATGGCACAGAATATAAACTATGATTAAAAATATCAGAGTAATGCTGGAAGGTTAAAATAACTTGGAATAAATAGTTTGAAGTTTATAATAAAATTAATATAATAAAAAAAAAACAACAAAAAATAGAAACATTAGAGCTATAAATATTTAATACACATTATTTCAATCAATTATAAATTTGTGACATTGAAATGTAACTTTGTATAAGAGATGTATCAATAGTAACATCTCAGAAAGTGAATAATTTCTAGACATTTATATCTTTTATCCAATACTACATCATTAAAAATCGGCAAATCGGCGTGGCTATCAAATTTGATAAACAAACGTGTTACTGTCAAGCACATGACATTTGTTTAGCACAAAGTTGTCGCGTCAGTCTGACTGATGCACCAGAGCTTGTGATGCGAGAAAGATTCAGTCCGATCACGATAAGTTCGACCTGCAGTATACATGGTCAATGAGTCGTACTATTCGGATCAAATCGTTTGAGATCCACATGTTGATGTTGCCTGAGTTCGTTCTAGCGTTATCCCGGACGCGCCGCGCCGTGTCGCGAACATTATCACCCGGGACAGGAATGGTTACGGGAAACATACCTTGAACTTACGATCGTCAATCGCGACGCGTAAATCATATTTTTCGGAGATTTTTCATGTAGCCAAGCTCGCTGGCCGTCCAACGGGTAGCCGCCATTGCCTTTTTGCTTGGTTTTTGCCCATGGTCCGCCGTCCGCGTCCGTTACGACGACCTATAAATGACAGATGGGGCAACCTGTCTCTCTCGCTCTCTTTATTTATCGAATTTATTGCCCTTATTGGACGAAGAATAAAAAATGATTGCGGGCATTTTGCAGGAAGAGAATCGCCCTGATTGTTCTCTCTGCATTTGGAGAGTTATCTCGTTTATTTCCTCAGTAGAAAGAATTAATTCTCTAAATTATAATTACAGATATTCACGGGATATTGTATAGATGATAAACGAAATTATCGTAATGGTGCTAATTAACCTACTCCCCCTAGATATCCTGGACAAAAACTAGTTGATCAACTAATCAGAAATTTGATCCAGTTTGATTTATAGTGGTAAGAACTCAAGGTGACTTTTCATATACAGTACATGCTGCGGCAGCAATTCGTTATTATTGGTTAAAAATTTTAAATGACGCACTTCCGTCACTTCTGGCGCAAAATGCATTTTACTCGCATCTCGTCGAAATTCAACCGAACGAACATTGATCAGGAAATGGCACTAAAGGGACAAAGAGCTTTCGAAACCGAGAAAGTTGCCGAAATATTTGTAAAAAAAAAAAGTGGAAATATTCTATCGCAACAAATATTTAAAAAAATTTAACAAAGTATGGCATTTCGAATGGGAAAATATATTTATGATTAATTAATTATTTTTAATAAATATTAATAAGTTTAATATGTATGTAAAAACAAGTCATGATCTCAATTTGTCGACATCGAGAACGTGAATAATGATTGCAGTTATTGCAATTTTTTGAAATGGTTATTATAAAGTGATTTTATAATTAAGAAAATTACAGTTTATTCTAAATAGAAACTTTAATGTCTTGCTTTTTGAGTAGCAAATGCAGCTGAAACAATTATGAAAATTTTGCATCACTTAATATTTTTGTTGCTGCAACGTGCTGTGCATGAAAAGTGCAACTTAAAAATAAATTTTTACGAGCTGCTTAAACCGGCTGTTTCAGCGACAAAAAGGATTACGTGGTCAAAATTGACGAATATCAAGCATCCATTTTGATCATGTGATCACTTTTTGTCATTGAAACAGCCGGTTAGAGCAGCTCATGAAAATTTATCTGAAGTCCGGATCTACATAGGTGCTTTAAGCCTTAAGTCATAAGAAATTGACTAACTACAGTCGAATGCAAGGAAAATAAGGAGCTCCGCATAATAAAAGAAATAGGGAATAGAGAACAGAGAATAAGAATTTCAATCTACCAGAAATCATTGTGAACAGAATGCATTGTGAATACACAGTTTCTGATAGGTTGAAATTCTTATTCTCTGTTCTCTGTTTCTTTTATTGTGTGGAGCCCCTGATTCATTGTGATTCATCCATTCTTTATGGCTTAAGACTTAAAGCTGATTGTTCTTTTTGGTAAATTTTATCGTTAAATCTGGCAATCCGCATGTAATTGAATAATTTTGCTACTTACCCAACAGGTAAAATTTATCAAAAAGTGGAACAACTGGACTTTAAAAATCTATTATAGATCTGGAATAAAGCTTGTTCTGCAATAGGCTCGCGAGACGTAAGAAATTAACCAATCATAGTTGTTTTTCTTTATATTCAATATCAGCTGCGTTTAACAATTAAATGAGCACTCGCTGCTATTTGTCTTCTTCTAGATCTAAAATTCTGATTGGACGATCTAAAAGAATACACCAATAATAGCAAACGCTTACTCAACTGTTGAGTCTGCTGAATGCATCCTATGATTGGACGATTACGAAAACAGCAAATCAAGCAATTCAAACGCAAATCGAGCCGTGAAAACATTTCTCAACTTGCTGCCATATTGCATTAAACCGACATCTCCTCTTGGAGCCAGAGATGCACAATTGGTCTCTGGCAACATCGAGAATTTTTTTTCTACTTCTGCTCCATCAATTGATGCAGCTTTCAGCTAATAGAGGCGGCATTATACAGTGTCTGTAAAATTAATCAAAAAATATCGATTTCGACTCCGACCGAAAAAAATGTGTTTCCGTTAGCCCTCCCCCTCTCTCTCTCTCTTTCTCTCTCTCTAATAAGACTCATTTTGGTTTCGATTTCATTTTAGGCTGAAATTGAATGACAACCGATCAATATTCGTTTTCAGTTTTGGTTGGATTTTACTGCTTTGATTGGATTCTACTGCTCCTGCCAAATTTTCGCACTCAAGTGCAAAAACTCGACATCAAGTTTCTCAATGAAACAGCGCGCACCGTTTTCAAGTGTACCGAAACGTTGTTAGTTTGGTTTGTTGTTTATTTTTTCCTAATCCTAAAAATTAGGAAAAAGGTAAAGAAAATTGAATTACGATTTAATCTCTGAAGTTAAATTTTACATTGCTGGAATTGAGTATTAATTACTTAAATTTTAACAGGGACGCAAACTCTCATAAGAATGGTTCATGCGAAAGCACCTTTAGCTGAAAGTAAATTAAACAAAGATCTTGGGGCTTATTACGGTTCTTGAAACGGTGAAAATTTCGAAAGTGATTGAATTTATTAAAATATTTATAACTTCATTAGTTAACACCTAGTGAGTTTGTTCATTTTTGTAATTTTTACTTCATCTAAAAAACTGTAATATAAGCCCCCTTTTATAGTATTTTTCGTATGAAAGAGTTATAAAGTGCGATTAAAAAGATTCGTGAGTCATTTCAATAATTTTAATTAAATATTCTAAAACTAAAAATTTCTGATAATTTATTATGACAAAATTTGGTCCACAATTCGGTATCGCCACTACCGATATTCATACGAGGGCAGCCTAAAGGCGTGCGCGGTCGATAAGGATGGTAGCCAATGGCGAACGTGCAATTCACATTTCACCACATTTCACGGTCGTGACGTCGTGCGCGCTCGTGTTGGCGACTGGGCGGCCTCGAAGTGGAATCTTTTTGCTTCCCATTTTGTCTCATGTGCGGCAACGTCCACGGTTCACCGTGGTTCGTTCACTGACGTTTCCGCTGTGCCATCGCATGGTCGACGTGTGCATATCGAGGCTCGCGCTCGCGTGGTACTCGCTGTGTGACGAATCGCGTCGCCGCTGAAGAGGACCAGCTCGTCGCGATAACGTCGACGTGTCGGACACACTGATCACACCGTAACGATCCTCTGAAGTGAGTGTAAGAACGGAAGGTATACCGTATAATAGCCACGAGCGAAGGTGGCCGTACGGCGCGTGCTTAAACTCGAGCGTTTAATGCCCGCGCGCGCGACACCGAGCGTTAGAGAGAAAGAGAAAGAGAACGTGAGAAAGAAAGAGAACGAACTAACGGAACGGGCGACCGCCCCTGAATGAATGGCTATGTCGACCACGTTCCTCCGTGGCTGACATAATCCGGTGTGAACTGGATTGGTGCGGTATTTCCTAACTACCGATAACTCTCCGACTGTAATTTTCACAGAGAGGAACCTGTGGCAAGGTCCGATTCCCCGTCGTCGACGTGGGCTACATTTCCTGCTCCGTTCACCCTCGTCATTATCGTCGTCGTCGTCCTCCACGTCCACCTTCGGGCGGACCAGAACACGTGTGGCAGCGATTAAATTTTTAGCATCTCGGGCACCAACCCGCCGTAACGTCGCGACCACGCGTCCCCACGCACATCCGCAGCGATGTCGAACGAGGAGACCTCCGCCGACCGCAACGTCGAGATCTGGAAGATCAAGAAGCTCATAAAGAGCCTCGAGATGGCCAGAGGGTAAGTAGGTCGGCTCCAAAGTCCTCGCGTCTTGTGCTATCAGTTGTTACCATTATTACTGCACGAATTTCCTTGACATATGGCTTGGCGAACCATGTGCTCATTTACCAAGTTCCGCAATCTGGGCTTCTAGATCTCATATAAGAACTGCTTTTGTTGCGACTAACAGACGTTCCTGGAATTTTGTTAGAAATTTATATCGTGGAAAATGTATATAGGTCTCATCTTATATAAGTGGATTTCTCCAAAATTGCCTTTTAATTATCTCTGCGGCATACTTATAGATGAAAGGTTGACGTGTTTGTCTTTACAGGAATGGCACGAGTATGATTTCGTTAATCATACCTCCAAAGGACCAAATATCGAGAGTGAGCAAGATGCTGGCGGATGAATTCGGTACAGCATCAAACATTAAGTCACGTGTAAATAGATTATCTGTTTTGGGTGCAATCACATCGGTGCAGCATAGGCTAAAGCTATATACAAAAGGTAATTGACTTTTATCTATATATATAAATAAGAATATAGGAATTTATTGTATACTTATAGCGTTTGACTCTTTTTAATGTGAAATTATATTTCGTGATTAACTTTTGAGTTATTTATTAGGTGTTGGAATTAATTCGTAGCGTTTTACAAGTGATGGGAAGTACTTTCATTAATGTATTTTTTAATGCTCATGTGAAATAAATAACATTCTTTCATTAAAAAACGCTACGAATTAATTCCAACACCTAATAGATATCATTCATACATTGAACATTAATTATGCTTTATTAATGTGTTTTAGTGCCTCCAAATGGCCTGGTAATTTATTGTGGAACTATTGTAACAGAAGAAGGAAAGGAAAAGAAAGTCAACATCGATTTTGAGCCTTTCAAACCTATCAATACATCTTTATATCTTTGTGATAATAAGGTGTGTTTTACTTTCGCAAATGTGATACTTGTATATAAGAAATATGATTTTTTACAAATTACATTGCGTTTTATAGTTTCACACAGAAGCGCTCACGGCATTACTCGCAGATGATAACAAATTTGGTTTTATTGTAATGGATGGTAATGGAGCGTTATTTGGAACGCTGCAAGGTAACACCCGCGAGGTGTTACATAAATTCACCGTAGACCTTCCCAAGAAACATGGTAAGTAAGAAAAATTAGAAAAGACACCCAATTTTTGTCATTATTTGTTTAGGAATTAATATAAGATATTGGTATCAAAGATATATGTTTTTTTCCTTGTTCTTTAATTGGCTCTCGGTACAAGTGTGACCATATTGGCCAATAACAAGTTATCAACTAACTTT